GCCCCCCCCGATCCCCCCCCCCCCCGCCCCGCCCCGCCCCGCCACCACCGCTCCCGAACCCCACACCCTCCGCCACGTCGTTCCCTTTCAGTCCCACGCCACTGACTCACTCGCACCCGAGCAAAGTGTACACATGCACGGACTGCCCATGCAGTAACGGCGAGGCGAAGAGAAAGAGGGAGAGGGAGAGAGAGAAGAGCGAGTCGATACCGGCTTCGCGAAATCGCCCGCACGAAAAAATCAAGCATAAAATGGCTGCGCCGAAGCTCGCCGCTGAGGCGGGCAGAGAGACGGTGGTGGCTGCGTTCGGCGACCGCGAGGACACGGGCTTCGGCGCAGCTCCTGCTCTCCCGCCCCCCTATTCCTGCCGACCCGCCTGCCCGCCAGCCCAAACGAACGCAAACCGAGCCCGAGCCCGAGGCCGTGCCCCAGCCCCAGCCCCAGCCCCAGTCCCCCTTTTACGTGGCCAACACCGGCTCCCGTACCCATCCCCGTGCGCCTCGGCGGCGCAGCCGAGGACGCGCGCACACGCGGCTTTGAGGTTATGTCGCTCGACGCGAGGTCTGTCACCGGTGAGGCCCTCGACCCGAACCCGCCGCCACTCGACACTCCGGACCTTTATGCCGACGAAGCTTCCATACGTACCATTTAATGTCGCAGCGAGCTCCCATGCATCCGCGCGTCTGTCCGTCCGTCCGTCCGACGCTCCGCCGTTCTCCTCGCTCTCTCGCACAAGCCCGAGTGTAAACAAAAGGGGCGCGCGAAATCCCAATGACGTCGGGCGGAGGGGTGGAGGAAAAAATCGCGCACAACTGCTGTTGTTGCTGCTGCTGCTGCTGCTGCTGCCGCTGCCGCTGCCGCCGCCGCTGCTGCTGCTGCTGCTGCTGCTGCTGCTGCTGCTGTTGCCGCCACCGCCGCCACCGCCGCCGCCACCGTCGCCACCGTCACGTGAGAAAAAGCGCGTCTCCTCCTCGATCGACGCGCTTCAATGGGAGGGGGTTGACATATACGCGCCCCGAACGCGACCAATGCAATCCTCCCGCAGACCGGGAGACTCAGGTAGAGGGCCCGACGCCCGGATTGACACCTGTGCGCTCGTACTGGGACCCCCGGCCTTATTCTATTGGTATCGCTTTATTGCCATAAGCATTGCCTCGCCGCGACGTCCGTATCCCGAGTAATTTTACCGCCCGATTCTCATTCCTTAATTTATTACAAGGATAAAATAACTTATTCCCACAAGATTGTAAGATTGTAGACGTTTCAAGGTATGCGAAGCTGTCCTCGGCTATCCTGTCATACTCTTGCCATTTGACAATGGAACACGGATGAGTGAACTCCCCTAAGATATGAATTTATTGGATGCCTACTGGATTTTCGTGATCGACCATCTCGCGAGATCATTATCGAGCTTTCGATCGACGATACGATTTTCTCATTCACTTATAAATACTTATGAATGTCGCTAAGATTTTAACAGTAGACAGGAAACAAGGACATGCATAAAATTTGTTATTTATACATTAACGGTAGACTCAAGGACCAACGTATGCGTTTATATACTTGGATGCTTATGTCGAAATGTCTGAAAGGTGTGATTTTTGGAAAAAGGCGGGCACGTCACCACGATCAGTGCCAATCGTTCTCGTATTATGGAAATCATTTGGAAACCATTGATGATTTCCTTAGTATTTATGTACGAAGATTCGTGGTTGGTTACATAAAATTCAAAGTTCATGTAAAAATTCCGGAATAACCGTCACGATCGAGTTTTTAAGAAATCGAATTCACACATTCTCAAAATGTTAATTTATTTTGTTCGTCTCCTGCAAAAGGGAAAAGAATAATAACTTTATGCAAGTCATTTTCAAGACAAAAATTCATTAATCAATAGAAACATATATTTTCAAATTTTTCCAACAAAATCGTTTATGTTAACTATTAATCGATGACGAATATACTAAACTTTACGTTAAAGAAAGTAAAATGTTTGATAATATCAAATATTTTATTTGATCATTTTCAAGGCCTCGTGTCATCGATTTTGAGAATTAAAAAAGAAGCTTCGCTCGCCCGTCCACGAACAGGAATATTTAAAACTCTTTAAAGATAAGGTCCAACGCAAATGTCTATTAGACCGTTTGAATTTTTAATCTACGTAGGTTTGCTAATAGTAAAAATTTAATAATTAGCAACGGCGACAGGAAGAATCGGAATCCTCATGTTTGTAAAGAAATTTAATAATTGGCATATTATGAATTAAATTACACCCTACGCGTGGAAAAAAATCGCTACTCTGAAAGTACAATAATCTATAAAGAGAAGAAAAAAAAAAAAAAAGAAACACGACCACCGTGTATTCCATGATATATTTAAAAAAAAAAAAAAAAAAAAAAAAAAAAAAAAAAAAAAAAAAACTATCTCGTACTATCGAGTATATGCACTCGAATGATATAACCATAGATTTATTAATAAGGCGGAAATTAAAGATTTATGCAAATTTATGGATAAGCGTAAAGGGCTTTATAAATGTATTTGTTGTCAACAAGTGGGACTTGTGATATAATGGTGAAGGAACCGATCGCCAAGCGCGCAACTGCCTCGGCTTAAACGTCCGTTGTTCTCGTCCTTTCATCCGCTGCCTTGTCGTGATCCTTTGCCTTCTGTTTGCAAGTTAATCGTTTATCATTTCTTTGGGGGCGTCTGTTATATATACACACTCTGTGGATAATCCGCTTGATGAAACGGGCTAATACTCGCGTTGTAATTATTCAAAGATGTCGAGTTCAGTTATTGAGAGTACACGCGAAGAGCGTAGCGATGATTTGTGTTTGCGCGTAATGAGTGATTATAGTTTGTGAGCGAAGCTATAATAGGACATTTCGAATGAAACTTAAAGGTGCTGGGGAATTGAAGGGGGGCCAGCAAAGTGAGAAGGATTATCATAAAATGGAAAAATCCATGTCCGTGACATTGTAGAATTTTATAGAATTTTATAGAATTTTATAGAATTTTATAGAATTTTATTGTCGCAATTATTGGAGAACGAAGAATTTGATATCGAAGATTGGTATGTACGTTGTTGGCATAAATTTAACAGACGTAACATTTTATTATAATATTCGAAAAATATCATTCAATTTAGAAATTTACGTTTAGAGTTATAAAGTACGTTGATAAGTTGATCGATAGTGAAGAATATTTATATTTTCTTTAGCTTTTACGTTACTTGTGGCTTTAAATCATTAAGTTTATTATCATATGTACGACGCTTTCCTAAATCAGCTTAGAATTATATTTAATTATGCAGCATTAGCGACCGTCGTTCAATTAATATTACCTAAAATTATTTGAAATATTAAAATTGGACAAATTAGAGAATTTAATTCATGATAATTACTCGTTAAATAATTCGTATAATTATTAGTCTTAGGGTTTTTATGCTCGTGCCGTGTTTCAAAAAGATGACTAGACTATTTTTACAAAAAATACAATGCATTTAATTTAAATTTCATATAAAAATTCATTTATTGTCTTTTTCAATCTTATTATAACATTCAGGTTTATCGTCATTATAATAATTCCCCTTCCTCCCTCCTCCTCCTCCTCCTCCTCCTCCTCCTCCCCCTCCCCTACCCACACAAAATCTATGACATATATCGTTGGTATAAACAGTTCTCGATCGCTAAAATCTACATTCTAAACTTTATCATCGAATTTATCGTTGTTGTGATTTATATCTTAATAAATCTAACATCTACTAGCAAAATATTTATAAATAACTGCTCAAACATTAGTCGTATTATTAACATTACTTATTGCGAAACTTATTTAGTAATGTACAGTTTATTAATACAATTTCGTTTTGAAAGATCTTCAAATCGAACGGTAATGCAATTGAATATAACTGCATGTTTAATTGTAAATATCACTCGTGTAATCATATCTAATGCAATTCAATTAGTTAATTTTTTTTTTTTTTTTTTTTTTGCACAATCGTGTCATGCATTAAAATTTAACAATAATGAAAGAATTGCTTATAAAATAAAATCGCTCCTTTTTTCTTTCCTTAATTTTAATTTTTATCCAAAGTATCATATTATACGTTAGATAATTTCTCAAACTTATTTATAATAAATTACTTATAAAAATTACTTCCCTAATAGAACGTAATTATAAATAATTAATAAAAAATATTGTGTACTTAATCGATTACATTGCTTAAACTTCAATAAGTAGAAGATTATTAATAATATAACTCGTTTATATAATAATGCTGTTTCATATTCATTTAATTAGACTATTTCGACTATATATTTCTTCAACTCTACCGAAGCCCAACTTTAGCGATGAATTCATTTTTATTTTAAGAACGAATAAATAACATTTTCTCTTTAATACGCATTTTATTACTATTAATTTCATTAAAATTCGTGTCCTGACGATATATAATGAGGTATTAGCTAATTATATGTTTACATTCTCCATAATAGATGTAAGGTAATAAATTAATAAATATCACACACAATAAATTATTTTTCATTATTTATTAAGGTGAAATATACTTTTCGGTTTGTATTATAATAAGAACAATTTTTAACGATTATTATAATTCCACTTGTTACGATTATATCACATAAATTGTGCTCTTAATATTTATTTATTAATACTTCATCGAATTGCACATAAGCTTTGATTATTCGCAAATAAAGATACATGTTTTTACTTGGGTTAAAAAGTATAGTTTGTGAATTAGAATTACACGATTACAAAGCCTCACAAAATTATATTGCAAATACGTTCATTGGTTATTAATTTTATCTTGTTTTTTTTTTTTTTTTGTTTTTACTAAAAACTTTCAGCGACTGAGTGATGATTGAAAGATCGGAAACATTGATTATATCGATCTATGTTTTATTACAGCATAAAATTCAACAATATTAAGTGCAATTGTTAAGTAATGAATATTGTAAACTAAAATAGGACAGGTGATGCGATTATTAAACATTGTGCAATAATGGAATATCACATTAACAAAATGGTAACGAAATCTAAATTTTACGTAAAGTCTTTCGTTAATTAATATTGCATTTGCATTGCTCGATACGTGCTAATTATCATTTAAATAATAAAAATACGCTATATAATTATAGGATAAAATAAATAAATGTCGCAAAATATTCTTGTTATAAATTTCAACTTATTTAATTAGAGATTTATGCAAAATTATTCTTAATTTGTTATTGATGAGTATCGTTAGAGTATCGTACAATTGGAGCGAGCAAATAATAATAATAACGTGAAATAAAATAATAATATCGATAATGCAGTACTGAGTTTAAATGAAAAAAGCATCGAAGCCAAAATAAGGAAGTTTAACAATTTTATATAATTAATTGAGAATAATTACATATAGATTATTTTAAATTAATGTTATTTATATGATAAATTTTATATGATATTTTTAAAATATTTATATGATAAATTTGTTAATGTGAATAAATATTGATATTTATATAAATGGAAACGGTTTGTAATTTATTAAACATATTCGATGAAATTATTTTTACAATTTATTTATTACATTATATTAACTATACATTATCAATTACCTTACGATCACATGAAAAACAATGTTGCAAATCGAATTTGAATTCCTTATAATATATATATATATATATATATATTATATTCATCTTAAGCGTCAATAACATAATATTCTACACTAAGGAACAAATTTAACAAATAAAATAAAAAGAAGCAAAATTCTTTTTCCACGGCAAAAAGTTGTTTATCACCCTGTTTCATGTTATAATGAAATATTAAGATATTGTGCATTATGCTTGTGCCCATGAGCATAAATATCGATTCGCATGTACAACATTTGCTCAGGAAATTCAGTAAAACAAATGTCATATACAAACAGTAATGAAGCTACGTGGCTATGCATACTTTATAATCGTAAAATTTGTTTAGTATAGTTATTATTATTATTATTATTATTAATTATTAATAATTAATTATTATTATTATTATTATTATTTGTTTATCGCAATATTGCATATTTATAATTAATACCATTTTAAAGTTGACTTATAATATCGATAATTATTATGCACAGCTTTTATCGTCATTCATTTTGTTTATTTTATTATTTGGTATACGAAAATGCTTGTTACCTCGTAAGCAGCAAGTACGCGTCAAGAATGATTTTAAATCACCGACTTAATAACATACATTATTGTTTGAAAAATCAGTGTTCGCTTGCCCCATTCTAAAACTGCAAAGTAACCGTAGAATGGAATTACAATATGAGCTATTTAATCACAATAGTTAAAATTGGAGATTCGATAATTGATATTCTCATTAAAATTACGGACTCAATAAACTGTACAAGAGAGCTTTGATAAAAAAATAAATTATATTCGAATTGAGACAGACGTAGGCATGCGTGTCCGACATAATTATAATTCAATAATAATCATTAAAGGCAAATGCATTCGATCTCAGGAGACGTTAATATTACGGTGCTATTTGCGATATCTATATATAAAAGTAGAATTTGCATATGCGAGATACGGAGCTCTCTCTCTCTCTCTCTCTCTCTCTCTCTCTAATGTACATACAATTCTTTTGTTGTTTAACACAGTATTTGCCTAACTAACTTGTGCCTCAAGCTTTCAAGCACAACTTGGCAGTATGCGGTAAAAAACAGAGCCGAACTGTTTCAGTCTAAAAGTGGGCAACTGTTTAATTTCCTTCAGAACTTTAAAAAATTGACGTTCCATCTCTATGGAATTTAATAATGAAATTATCCTGTTGATAAGTTAAAATTATATTTATTTTACTAAGTAAAATAAAGCGATTTGTCTGTTTTTAATAGAGACTGGCCAGTTACGGAGGTAGGCACACATTAAAAATACTACATATCAATGTAGCTTATAAAATAATTACAATTATTTCCTATTTCACTTAAAATTAAGTTAAAGCAAAGCGCTTACTTTATAAAAGCATATTTCAAATACTGTGTTTATGCCCTTACAATCGATAGAGGTATTTTTATTTGCACAATTAAATATTACTAAAATATTCGATCTCTGACTACTTATTTTTTGCATTTTTAATATAGAGGCGTTTTATCCATCGAATAGTGATTCAGTTTTTAATAATAACTGTGTAATGTAAAACGAAATCAGTCATTATAATGCTTGTAAATGTTATGTTTAACAGATCTTTGGTATGCGCAGCTGACTTTTGTGTGTAAAAGTCTTTATATCCGGAAAAATTAAATATGGCAGGTCGTGTATACGATTGTAGATAATAAATAGAAAAGAAAAGATTTTTGTCTGATAGCGTCGCCCATACTTTCACATGTATAAAATTTTAACAATTTTTAAATTCTCTCATTGGTTTAGTTCTCACAGCGAACACATCAAAATTCTCATAGACTCACTACTTTTTATTCTTAGGACTCGTCGATTGGAAAACACTAGATGCTGACATTAAATTTTCTATATATTGGCCCAATACCTGATTTTCGCTCTTCAATTTTAAATTTTCCTCTTTAACTCCGTCGACCCTCTGCGACAAATCTATAATATATAATACAATCATTGCGACTTACGCATACCGTAACAATTACTTAAAATAATTAATAACAAGTAACAAAACTTGGCAATTTACCATCTAGAGTATTTTGAAGCTCTAAGACTTGAGCTATTAATCTTGCTTTTTCTTGTTGCTCGTCGGGACTTATGTCAGGATCCAAACCTAGAAGACATCCTACATAAAACAATAAATCTATGAGCAAATTTAACATTTTTGAGGAGCTGTCCATGGTCACTTCTTATGTGCGAATGACTGCGTGTGATATCGTGAGAAGATTCGGTGAATTTAAAAATAAGCCATTAATTAAATACAAATGAAAACTAAAGCGGAAACATTGATTAATGGTGGAACTTATGGGAGAGGCTTTCAAACGCAACCTTACTAACCACAATTAATATAATATTAAAAAAATTTTGTCCTCTTAACTTTGTAAAGCTTGGCTCGATGCGATTCATGATGCAAAAGATGCAAAAGACAGAATAGCCCCTCATTTATCATGTAAATACAACTTACTATTTCGACTACAGCTGTCGTTTGTGAAACTTGAAATTAGCGAATCCATACTTTGACCATGGTTCAGGGAGTCGCAAGCTCTGGAATTATTGTCCACGTTATTCTCCTCTTCGGGTATTATAACTGAAAGCATGATAATATCATTGGATATAGCGGTGCAATTCATTTATCATAATTAACTGGATTAATATGGGATGAATATGTTGGAGAAGCATGAATAATGCAGCGAAATTACCAAACATTACCTTGCGGGTCGTCGTCGGCCAAGGGTATATTGTTCATATCATCCTGAAGCTTCGTGCTGGCGATTGTCGACGTCGACATGTTTCTGCAATTGCGAGTTCACGGTGTATGTTTTTTTTTTTTTTTTTATAATACAGGAAGCCCCAAAAGAGTCAGGCCGAAGTCGAGCACAACCGAGCTTATCGATTCGATTTTTTCTCCAGACTCTGATTTGTTTCGGTTCACTCGCACATCGTCCGTCGCCAACTTTTTCTCCTCGCCTCGATAAATATATTAATAATTTGCAGTGTTTAAGTGCACCAACTTATCAACTCTTTTTCCAATAGAAGACCACTATCGAGCTTTCGTCGAATAAAAGATGATTCATTCAACGTATGTATTGCGTTACGGTGATTATAAGTGCATTATAAACTTATATGTGCATCCCCGCTTAAGCCAAAGACGATTGCACTATAATATAATCCCGCTTATGGGTTTATGACGGCACTGCAATGTAGAAATATTTATATGCATCGGCACTGAGTACATAAACATACATAGATAAGAGTTTTTTTTTCATGCAGATTTCTTTCTTATCGATAGATAATAGTAAACACGATTTTATCGTTGTGTACTCGCGTATGCGTGCATAGGCGCGCGCGTCCGTCCGCACGCACACATATTCACCAATGAATTTGTACAGTTTACGTTATGGCGTTTTAGATTCGTTTCTTAGAAGCGTGAAAAAAACAACAACAACAACAGCAACAAACAAATATTCAAAATTCACACACCTTCGTGATATTCTTCTTTTTTTTAGAATAATTATTTAATATTATATATACTCAGGCAATGTCCCTTTATTATCATATATTACATTTGGAATTGGAGGGATTTTCTTAATTTATTTCAGGGAAAAATTATATTATACTACGTTTAATATAGAAATAAATAACCAAAAGGAAATAATTAGATTATCGATCTGGGCATAAAAATTGTATGATCGATATATTTTTTTCTTTTTAATTACTAAGAAACGGAAGACGAGTCTTTGGATCTGTGCACGTAAACAAATATACTTTGCAAATACGAATTAATAAGGATAGGGATAGGGATAGGGATAGGGATAGGGATAGGGATAGGGATAGGGATAGGGACAGGGATAAGGATATGAGGGGGGAGGGGGGGAATTAGCAATAATAATGTGAATTACATTTGCTCGTTTAGTGAAATTTTGCACAAATGCTTACAGCGTCAAGATAAACTAATTGTCATTTCTATTCGTTTGAATTATTTTCGGTTATAAAAGAAAAAAAAACAATGTCCCACAATGCATACAGACTATAAAATGAATAGAATACACTCAGCGGTTAATAAATAGCGCTGGCCGAAAGAACAATGTAAACGGTATCGGTTCTGGGTATAAATAAAACATTTGTTACATAGTTCGAGACAAATTTATAAAAAAGAAAACGTATAATTTACTCGCGAAAGCGTGTGCGTGCGCGTGTACGGACATGCGACTGCATATACCACGCGCAGGCGCGAGTTGCGTACACGGACGAGAGCGCGCCTGTGTTAGGTACGTGCGTGCAGTAAGCGATACGTCGAGTGCGGAGAAAGGTCGGTTGAATGGAAGATGGCTGCCAGCTCGAGAACAGGTGAGAGATCGCTGGTCATTTAAATTCCAATCCAAGCGAATGTCGTGAGTTCTTTTGCATTTGAAGAAACGGTGCCTCGATCCTCCTCTTCCTGCTCCTGCTACTCCTCCTCCACCTCATCCACCTCGCTTCGAAATCACCAGACAATAAGAGTCAGGAGCGGGACCAGAAGAGGGAAGCTGCTAATATCGGGCCAACACTTTTCTGTCGACCTTTTGTGCGTCTGCTGTAGGCTTGTGCGCCGCGTTACGTGCAGTCGTGCGTGTGTAGTAACCGCCTCGCTCGAACATCACTCATTTATCGCCCGATCGTCAATTAAAATCGAGCGTGCCTGCCATATTTTCGGGCAATCGTGATCGGGGCAGACGAGTCTTTTTACACAGCACCTCCACCACCACCTCCTCCTCCTCCTCCTCCTCCTCCTCCTCCTCGTCATCTTCCTTCTTCGCCTCTTCCTCCATCGCCGACGACTGTGCCGTCCCCCGAAACTTCCCTCCCCTTACCGCTATCCTAAAATGCATTTTGCCCCACTGCTGTTGCTGGGCCTCTCTCCTGCTCTACCGCCCCTCTACTGCCGCCGCGACCGCCACCGGGTCCCCTATAACTCCTCTATATATTTGCTGGCTCGTTCGCTCTCTAAATCCCCCCTCCGCCCCCATCGCCCCTTCTTCATCGCCGCCACCACCACCGCCACCACCACCCCCTCCCACCCGCCTTCCGCCACTCACGAGGCGGCCGCGAGGGTCCG